CAAACTACAGCCATTGTTACAGTAACTCTCTTGTAATTAGACTGAGAAAATATTTTTGACAAAAAAGGTTTAGAGCAGCTGGGGACAAGTAATCTCTCTCATACTATAGCAATGTAAGACTTCAATTCAGTAAGGAAAATGTACCTTCTTCCTCCCTCATCACAAACACAGCAGTAATTAACAGTATGAAGCAGTAGCCTTTTATGGGTTCCAGTGGAAATTCTTTTTGTCGGACAATATCATTTAAAACCTTATGCATGCACTATAGTGCAGTCATTCAGCAGAACACTCCAAGCTGGCAGTGGTTCAGAGAAACTGTTTGATACATTAATTTATTTTCAGCTTAAAGCTATAATCACATTTTGTAACATTTGGATCACTGGGCTTTGTAGAATGTAACACAAACAAATACTTAAATTTTATAGTGAGATTATAATTCAGGTCTATTAATTTTATTTATATAGTGCCAATTCACAGCACATGTCATCTCACAGCACTTTACAGAGACAATTAAACTAGATCATACAGTCAGATGGATTCAAAATTTTCTATCCAAGGAAAACCAGCTGATTACATTGATTCATTGAGTCAACAGCAATCCCTCACACACAGTATGCATGTAGCGACAGTGGAGAGGAAAACTCCCTTTTAACAGGAGGAAACCTCCAACAGAACCAGGCTCAGTGTGAGGCTGCCATCTGCCGAGGCCGACTGGGGTTCAAGGAGACAGAAGCAGAGATACAGAAAGAAGCAGAGATACAAAAAGCAACTGTCAAGCAGCTCCACAGGCAGCCCCATCCAGGAAACACACAGCCAGGCAGATGAGCTTGGAGCCAGCCCCCACGTCAGAGAGGAAAGGTTCTGGCCTTCCATTACCCTTTTTATGGCCTCAGATACCCAGTTTTAAATATTGTCACTAAAAACTGTTATAACATATTCAAACTGGTACCCTGTTGCAGCTTGAAATGACGTACCCTTGCCTACAGTATAAAAAGGGGAAACTTAGCACTACCGTGAACAATAGATTTTCTATTTCATTCAGGTCTGGACTTTGACTATGCCCCTCCTCAACAGGGGTATCAGTAGGGCATTTTAAGGGGGGCTATACAAACTAACATATAAATGATTGTAATTGTTGATTGGAGCATATTCAATCAAAATTGTAAGAAATTGATCTCATGTTAAATGACCTTAAAATATTGAAAAGAATAAACAGAACACAAGTGTGTAATGGCCACAGTCATTTGAAAATGTTGTTAAGAGGTTAAGTGGACCGACCTAATTAAAACATTAGTCAAATACAACACAAGTAGACATAATGCAGTTTATACATTCAAATTATTTTTTTATATTAAGGGAGAAAAATCCACACTTTTTTACCACAGCACATATACAGAAATTAACTTGACCAAAATATTTAGAAAAGCAGTTTAATAATATTTTAATTCAAGTAATTTTTTTTTTTAAGTTTATGGGGTTTTAAATTACAACCATTTTAGCCACATTTGGGCTCAAACTGTTATCTGTGCAACTTCCAAATAATGGGCAGCAACAATTATTGTATTATGAGCAGAAGACATGTCATTACTCTTTATGTTGGTCAGTCTTCTATTCAGTTTATTGTGTTCCCAAATATCATTAAGGGTCTTGCTGTGGGGATGATGAAGGAAGAATGGACCAACAAACATAATTCCTATATTTTGTTGTTGTACAGTATTAAACATCTAATGTTTGCTTAAACAAAAAATAGATTTATTAGACTTTTTAGGGGGTTCTCTCAATATGTGGAAGGTTAAGATATTTAAAGCCTTGTGTGGTTTTAAAACAGAAAAATTGTTTACATTTCTCTACTCTCAGTAACCTTCATACTGTAGGTGGGCAGCATACAGTATTTGTGCTTAAGTAACAATAGTACTACTTCATGATATTTTTACTCAACTAAAAGTAGCAAAGTAGCCTTTAAAGAAAGTACTCAAGTAAAAAAAGGATTTGGCAAAAACACTATTCAAGTACTAAGTAACTGACTTTACTTTCAGCCCATGATCAAGTCAATAGAAATCATATTTCTGGAGTTATAAAACTTACTAAATCATTAGGTATAGTATGTTATAACAGGTAAATCACTGTGTACCATTTACTGTATTTTAAGGGGGACTGAGCAGACAGAAAATAAAATTTAACCGATAAGTCTTGGTTACAAATATGAAGAAAGTGTCTCTCAATAAATAATAATAATAATAAAAAATAAAAATAGAAAAAATTGTAAAAAGTACAATGTTTTAAAACTACTCCTAAGAGTCCATTCTTTAAACAAGTTACTCAAGCAAACGTAACTGAGTAAATGTAACTACCTACCTCTAGTAAACTGTCTGTCTATTCCACAGGCTCCATGGTGCTATGCTTATAAATTAGTTAAAGTAATAAAAAAATGTATTTCAATGTTTCTACTATAAAGATATTTCCTTAATTGTAACTTAAAATATGTGTTTATTCACCAGTATGATCAGTACATTTCAATTATCCTTTAGATTAGTAATAAAAAATCTTACACATTATCAAGGGTCGACCTATTCCATAGTTTGGAAACATTTTCCCACAAGTCAGATAAGCACAATGGTCAACACGGCCCTTGCCTTTTAAATAACAGCCACTTAGCTCAAAGCAGTGTCAAATGGGACACATGAAGTAGCACTTGGAGATGATGACTACTTAGGGTAGGCTATAAAACCCACCATGGCACACTAAAAAGACAATGTGACCAAAAATACTGACTGATAACTACTTGACGACAGCTGCATTCTGTAATCAAGTAGCTGCATTCTGCCCCTCTTCCCCATTTGGGCAGAGGAACAGAAACAGAGCATTTTGACTGACCATAGAGTCTTTCTGAGGCTATTGGTTAGGCTGGATGGGTTCTTAGAGTGCTCCATCCAGTGTTAGTCTGGGACACATAAAGAACAAAAAATAAACTATGATACTAAAAAAAACTCCTGTTCTTACAAGTGCAATTGACACTGGTTCCACTCTTGTCTTAATCATAAGTTCAATAAGGAGGTATATGGGAGAAGGCCATTCTCATTTCAAGTACTACAAAAAATACACACCAACGGTTTGAACTACTTCCACCACAGGTTTATTTCTTAGTCTTAATTTTTGGAACTTCTGTTTCTTAGAAGCACTTATCTGTGGCAATAGTCTGGAGCACCTGTTGCCAATCTTTCTATTGGTAAACCAACTGATACTTTTACTTCATACATTTAACAAGTGTTATGTCTGTTCAAATCTGGCCAGCAAAACAAGCTACCAGAATAGACTCCACTTCCCCCACTCCACTTCCATTCACACCAGAGTGAGGAGCAAGAATTTTTTTGCAATGATTCAAGCACACCTGCTGTGAGGTTCAAAATAAGGGAAGAAAAGGAGCCAAAAATTTGCCTGCCCAGAAAAACACAACCCCCTTAGGATACCCTAAGGCAGATCTAGGCCCAGGCAATGCTTCCCCTTCTTTCAAAACCCCCAAATGGACAACATCAAAGCCCTACTTGACTACATTGGCAGCAGCTGCTCCTTCCCAGGCTTTCAGGTTACCAGGAGCCCACAAGACAATATTGGGACAAAATCTGCAATGATGTCACTCTCCTCTCTAAGAACCAGGTGAGCTGCTCTCAAAAAGCCAGTTTAAGTTTAGTGAACTATAATAATGTGTTAACGCTGGCCACAAAGTCTGTGGCAAAAGCATTGAATTTATATAGTAACCCTACAAAAACCGAGTGGACAAGAGTGGTAAAGAGGTCAGCTGTGAACTCAGTGCGATGAAAGCGGTCACCTCCGAACTCTCACCAAGTGGTTCGAGTCGAGCTGAAAAAATATGAACTTTTCTACGAAGCCACATTGCGGCAACCATTAAGGTTGTAACGTAGATTAAAGGAGTGCAGGAGAGACAAAGCTTTTCTTTTAATAAAAACAGAATATAAAAATAATCTTGAGAATAAAACATGAAATGCTCTTTAGAGGTTTTTAGGTCGCTTTTAAAAAAAATCAATCAATCAATTTTAAGAACTGTTGATTATTAGTCATTCTAGCTCAAGTTCAGATCCAGCTGCTGCCTCTCTGCAGGACTGGTGCTCTCAGCACAGCTAGATAAAGGAAGTACCACATAATCCCATCATTACTCAGATGTAGTTTTTTGGAATAGGAGGTGTTACTCTCCAAACTGTTACTGTATCTGGAGAATCTGGTTGACCAACTCCGATAGTGCCATTGTTGAGCTTTCCACAGCAAAAAAAGCTCTGTGACTTGCGCAATAAAATCATAGTTTCCCGTGCTAACTAGAACAGAAGCTCAAGCTCCTCCCAGTTGATGATGCAGTCCACAGTTAGAACAGTTAAATGAATAAAATAAATAAGACATTAAGCACAATCCAATCACTCCAACAACTCTGTCCAGCTTTTCCTATGCCCTATATCCTCAACATGCTGTTTGATCTGCAACAGAAATAACTTCTCCTTTATGGGGGTTTTTACTCATGCAAAACCTGTAATAAAGCCAAGATTTGTTAAATAAATGGCCAAACTGTTTTAACTGATTCTTGAAACTAAGAGGTAAATCAATTTCTTCAATTAATGCACTACTTGACCTGTTATATGTTTAAATACAAAGCTATGCCTTTATAGGGCATGATGTTTTGAAACCTTGCTCTGTGATGTTTCAAGTTAAGGATAAGTGTTTCCCGAACCCTTATCCCTAAACATTTTAATGTGTCACCATTAAATGGGCAATTAATTGCACTGGATTTTATTTGGATTTATTTATTGTATAAATCTGGTATTAAACAAAAGAATGTGCATACAAAATTAAAACCACCTGTCCTATTCTACAGTTTTATTAGATCTAATCCCAATAACACACAAAAAAGCATTAAAAAACATTCTTGGTTTAATGTGTCAAAATACATAAATTGCCAAGAAATACTGGAGGCCCTAAAGTTTGGATTCCCTTACCTTGATTCCAACATAGTCGACTGGAATGATTGGTTTCTCCAGTGAAGGCAGACAAGACTCATCTAAAGGCTCTCCCACCATCACTTTAGTCGCTACATTGATAAAGTCGACACCAATTGTTTTAGATACAAAAGGGAACGACCGCGATGCCCGCAGATTACACTCTATTACCTACAGGGGAGACAGGACACAAGCAAGACATAGCTTTTATTAAAAAGTTAAAGTTATTTCAGCCTTAGGGTTTAAAAGTTAAAACTGGAAGCTTAGAGAACTACATTTTAAAAATTCATAAACATAATATTTGACTGTATGACCTGGTGAACTGTAAGGTGCTTTGAGATGACATGTGTTGTGAATTGGCGCAACATAAATAAACTGAATAGAATTGAATAATATACCTTTAGCCAAATCACAGATAGATACATTAATACATACATGCATATATTTATGTGCAATCGAGCTGAAACATCTAGAATGAAAGCATCACTGATCATTACATCTCTCCAGCCTGACAAGTCATTTTGAACATAAAGTGATTTCAATTTTTAAGAAAACTACTTTTGCTGCAGCACAGTGTGAAAATGTCAATATATCATTTGGTCATACCAAGGGGGCATATTACTTACCATGACATCGTTGCCTTTAATAAGGAATTGGGTATTAAAGGGCCCTGAAATTTCAAATGCTTGTGCAATTTTACGGGTGGCAAGTTTAACCTGAAAGCAGGAAAAAAGGGAAAACACATATTCAGAAAAGATACAAGGTTGTCTTTCGAAGTTTTATATACTGGAAAACATAGCTTAGGAAAAAACTGAGCATTTATTGCCATTACTTTGTGATTTCCTTTGTTCAATTAAGAAATGTGCCTCAACTCTGCTGTCATTCGATATGTCAGAGTATCTTACATGCCTCAAGAGGAAATTAAGAAGTAACAAAATTAAGAAAAAAAATGTTTATCCAGGTTTTGTTTTAATTGAATATCCACAAACCCTAACATAATCTGACTGTAGTGCGGTGAACTACAGTACCAGTAACCAAAAAAACTAAAACTGAGATGGCAAAAATCAAAACTACCTCCATCAGATGCATGAGGAGGCAAAGGTCAGGAAATTATAAAACATGACTGCAAGCCCCTATAAAAAGCCTGAAATGAAAAAACAAAAGTTGTGTTTATGCCTCAAAGTGTAGACCTTAACTTAGGAAAGGGTGGAAAAAAGTCATTGACTCTTGGAGGATCGCTGCAATAAAGCTAGTGTTTAATTCACTGTTAGCTTATGAATTCAGAGCTCAGTGATTTCTTCAAGACCTTGTGAATAGTTTTTAAACGGAGTCTTCAGAATTCTTATTTCTTTTTAGAAAGCCACAGACCAAAGACTTGTTAGTCATTTAGTTTACATTTCAAATGCATCATGTTGTGCTACAAAGAATAATTTTGCTGTAAATATAACATAGAAATAAGCATTCATCATCAGCACTTAGTAACGACACAGTCAAGGAACACTATGGACAGCGGAAACATGCTAGACGAGGACAGCTTTTTGCCGTCATCTTTTCTTTATTTAAAGGAGGAAAGCGAGGACAAAGTTTTTTAGAAGAGAATGCCAGGGCGGCATAAGCTTCGTTTGGTGTAGAAGGCTTACAGCCCTACATGTTGGAGCCCTTGCCTTGCAACGCTGCCAGTTCTGTAAGCTCTACGCCTGCTGAAGACACAGACGTCCATTCCTGTGAACACTGGGACTTAACTCAATGGTAAAGTAAATGATTCTTATTTCTTATCTAAACTGTTGCGTATATTAGCTGCGACATATGACTCAAGATGCTATGACCGAAAAAATTTGATTGAAAGATGACTGTTGATATATGACTGGCTGAATTTAGGTGTACAAGCTGACATATAACTAACTGGCCTGCATAAAATAACAAAACCCCCGACCACAGATTTTATGAAAGGATTTTATTTATTTTTTTTAATAGAAATTTTCTAACTTTTGGGACAATATGGTCTGATAAAGAGTACATTTATTTACATGTTTAAGCCAGAATGATAAAAAAATTAAATGCGAGTTCCCTATTACTTTAATTGTATTTTTAACATATGGAGTTGATCTCAGCTGCATTAATGCAGAAAACAGCTTACTATGTTGTTTTTGAATGCACATATACATTTTCCAGTGTGGAATATTCATTCAACATTAAGCTATCATGATTAGAGAAATGCAAGAATAACATGCATGAGTCGTCACAAATTTCAACTTGAGAGGATTTTTCACAACTCAAACAGGCTAAAATACTATAAACAAAAAATGCTTAAACTGATGAATAAAGGCTCAAACTGATGTTTTTCAATATGTACTGTGATGAGGAGGGGAGGTGCATTTCACTGTGAGGTGTGAGGTGGGACCGGTGGGGACAATGGTACTGATTATTGGGGGTTTTGTGGCTGGGGGGTGGTGTAAATATGGATTTTAGCCTGATGTGTTTGTGTAGGTATGTATATGTTGATTTATATGTATGTATGTAGATGTATATATTTTTTGGGATTATGTGTTCCTGACGTAACCAAAACTACTGCCCTCTGAAGACACACCCCTCTGGTGGAGGTTTTAAAAGAGGTGACTTCCTGTTCAACTTCCAATTTTGCCGGTGGCCCTATGCTGCGTAATGCTAGTCTGAGTGCTTCCAAGCTGAACGCTATGCTAAGTAGCAACTAAATCCCTCCAGAGAAGTCTACCTTGGCTGGACCGAGTCAGACTGCCTTTTTCCTGTGATTCAGAAGGAGCTGAATGGTTTGTTTTTATTCTTCCTGCGATTCCAACAAAGTTGAAAGCAGTGTTCCCTGAAGTCTGCTGCAGCAGAAAAAGAGAAGAGCTAATTCAGCTCTGCTAACCTAAATCTAACCACTCAACAAAGTGGTCTCAATTGCTGTTCACCAAAGGACCTTTAGACCTATTACAGCCTGAGACGGAGAGGCGTAGAAGCACAGAGAAACTGCTGATTGAAAGCTGTGTCTAAAAGCTAACTCCGTAGGTAAAAGGAAGAGGTCCCGTGCTACCGTAAGTTATAAAATTAACCCCCTTGCAAAGCTGCCTCTTATTATTGCATCAAATTGATCCAAAATCTCTTTGAGAGCAAATTTTGGACGAACGGACTGGACAGAAGACACGGCCTCCAGAGAGTAGGACTGAGCCGAAGACCTTCGCTCCACTATACCAAAACAGTAACATCATGCATAAGTGCTCGGCTTCGATGAACTAGGTATAATAGTCGTGTTTGTTTAACTGAGTGCTAATCCTCACTGCAGACTGAACCACTTACATGTGTCTGAAGCTAACTGCTGCATTGGACTGGCTAGCATTGGTGCTCCAGCACTCCAGCACCAATGCTAGCCAGCACCAATGCTTGAGGGTTTTGCTTCTATTTATGTTCAGATGAATTTAGTTAGTTTGGAAATTGGTATTTGGTTTTGTTGATGTTTACTAGTTTTATTTGTGTGTATTTTGTTGATTCATTGTCTGAAATAAATTCATATTCATTCATTTATTATCACTACGTTTATTGGATACACCTTTATTATTTGATTTTATGCATTGTTTTGCTTCTAAAATGTGTGATAGATGCAAATGCTCCTTAGAGAATAATGGTTTCACTTGACATGATAGTAGAACTTATTTTCTCCATGTTGTTGGTTGTATACAAATGATCTGAATTTCTCATTCTTAACATGAAAAAGTTAACACCATTGTAATACAAAGAAGTCATTATCAAGTTTAAAGAACTATTTTCAGAGAATTTAAACTCTGTGACAGGATGTTTATCCTTCTGGGATTTTCAGCTTCATTCAACAGATTTTATGTTTTTCAGGCAAAGTCTGATCTTACATTCTTAAAGTCACAGCTAAGATCAAAATGTAGTGACTCCAAAACAATTTTCTTAATCAGTTTCTGTGAAGATTTAATGAGGGAGTGTAAATTGTATCTTTAGGTTCTGCTTCAAGATACAGCATCTGTTTACAGACGGTATTCGACATACTTTTCAAACAACTATTTTTATTTTCTCAAACCACTCTGACAGATGTCCTTAGGACATGACATCAGCGGCTCTTTTGCCATTTTCACTTTTTTGAGAATCTACAATATGGGAGTGAGTTTGAATTCTAGTAATTTGCGGTCTCTAAAACATTCAGACCTGACCATCTCTTTGGTCTAAAGTTTAGCAACTGTAGATGTCAATGTCAAGCACTTACTTCTTAGTGAGTCATGACTGATTAAGCTTGTAAAGTCTTCCTTTTCTTTTACTAGTATACAATGTTTATTTGACACCAGTTAGACTGAAAAGTGCTTTGATGTTAATAATTCTTTTTTTGGGGGGGTAAAAAGATGAGTTTATACAAGATTATTAGTTAAATTTACTGTGATTCTACAACAGCATTTGAACTATCATGAAGATCACAGAGACTAAGGGGCAGTATTAATCTAGTGTGGAGGCCTAAGCAATCAAGCATCAATGGTAATGAAACTGTTCAGCACAGTAAAGTCTGTTCTGTTTCAGCAAAGACAGCAAGGCTTCCCTTTCCCCAGATACCTCATCCAGTTCTTTAGGCTGAGGCATTCAGGGGTGAGCCAAGAGACATCCCTCTAGTCATTTCTGGGCCTTTTACCAAGGGGACTTGCTTTGAACTGTACTGTACATACTTTGGAGGCATTCAGGGATCTGCAACAGATGTCTGAGCTTCCTCCATTGACCCTTATTGATGTGAAGCTGAAGTAAATCTACATCAAGCCTCTGTCTGATAGCCAAACTTCTCACCCTACACTAAGGGAGTGCTTAGCCACCCTGTGAAGGAAGAGTATTTTGGCCTCTTGTATTCAGGATATTGTCCTTTTGGTCATGGCTGTGATTTCTGCATTTAAAGCCACACAGGTGTGGTAAAAAAACTATATTTAATTAATTCATTTTATTCATGTAGTGTTTTGTTTACAGAGCCATCTCTTTATTTGGAATTCATTAATCGCCACTACATTGTATTCCAAAATTTGTGTGCACATATTGGTTTAGCCTGTTTTTGTTATAATTGTGTTTAAACTATACTCTGTTTGTGTTTTGCGGTTGGGCCAGTCCCTAGGCTGAGGAACCAGCAGCTAAGTTAATTTAGCTGAGATAATTTTAGCTGAGTTAATTTGGACCAAACCACATCGGTGCGATGAGGGGATTATAATTCATTAAGTTAACTTAAGCTTTGGTATGTTATTCCTAATGTGTTACTTTTGTAGATTGATCAGCCACTATTTAAGTTAATCTTTGTCTCATTAAGGGAGTTAAGTTTGTTTGAGTTATTCTTGTTCTGTTATTAGATATTTTGAGTAATTTTTGTTTCCTTGACCTCTTTTCTGGATCAATTTCTTGACCAAATCTTTACCTGTTACATTTGATCTTTTTTGGGTTAAATAAAAGAACCCTGTTTTTTAGGCCTTTACACCTCTACCTGACTGCCCTTACTGCTTGGTCCATCACAATGGTCTATATTTCACCACAACGTACCATTGTCTGTCTGTTAATCTCTTACTCCATTCTACCTTCACTCATTAAAAGAACCCCAGATACCCAAACTCCTCCACTGGTGGCAGGAACTGTCCTCTGACTAAAGCCATGGCCTCTAGCTTGGAGTAACTGATCTTCATTGTGACTGATTCGCACTCGGCTATGAACCGACTCAGCACTGCTGTGAGTCTTGAGTCAGGGGGTCAAAAAGGCGAGAAGGATCATGCTCCCCAAGGGTAAAATTTTGCCAATCTAGTAAAGTCAAGTTGAACGATGAGGCGAAGTTACAATCTAGTGTGAATTTTAAATATTTATACATAGTCAGGAATGAAAGTGGTTTTAAATTCATAAAGCAAAGAAATAGAGCATTTTTTTCTACTTTGCTGATGACCAAGTTTTTTTTTCATACAGTTTATCAAGCTGCAAGTGTAGAAACAGCTTGGTGCATAGCTGATCTTAATGAGCCTTTCAGACAGGATGCAACGCACACATTGTTATGCTATGAAACCCATTATTTTTAATGGTTCACACCATTCAAGCACTGCAGGTAAAGTAGTTTGCTAGAGTTTAGTGTGCCATACATGTATTGAGCATACATGTAATAGACTTGAATACATCAGTCTTATTATAGACTTAGATTGGCATCTGACATGAGATGAAAAGCATCCTTACAATACTGAATACCACTGATGATGGTTTTCTCTACTGGCTTCCTTTCACGTCTGCACATAATGTAGGTAGAAAATTTAGTAACTAAAAGCTAATGTTAGCTTAGGTAAGTATACATAGCCTTAAAGGAATAGTACACCCAAAACATGATTAGCCTTCATTTTCTACTCACCTCCATGCTGAACAACACTCTGGAGTACTTTTTTGATATCTCAAATGCATCTGGAGATCTGGGAGGCTTCTTGCTGTCTGCTGACATTCAAATAATGGAGGTCCATGGCGCCCGAGACAGAAAGGTCCATAAAAGTCCACAAAAACGTGTCAATATTCCTCCATACTGCTCGTCCAATGTAATCCAAGTGTCCTGAGTGGGTAGCATCCAGAATTTACTCGAAACGAAGTCATTTAGAATGTTTTTAGAGCATAAACAGTAGTGTATAGGATTTCCTAATAGCGCCCCCATGCGCGCTCACGATTCTACGGAAGCCAGCAGACCAAACCGGAAGAAAGTGCGCATTCAGCGTCTGGTCTGCCGATAATGCAAGCGTAGAAGAAGAAATGTGCTGTTTACCTGTGCAAAGAAAGAAACAACGAAAGAAAAATGTCTGAGGACTTCAGTGTTGAGGAAGAGCATGAGTTCTTTGCCGAGCTGAATGCGCTGGTTTGGTCTGCCGGCTTCCGTAGAATCGCGAGCGCGCATGGGGGCGCTATTAGGAAATCCTATACACTACTGTTTATGCTCTAAAAACATTCTAAATGACTTTGTTTCGAGTAAATTCTGGATGCTACCCACTCAGGACACTTGGATTACATTGGACGAGCAGTATGGAGGAATATTGACAAGTTTTTGCGGACTTTTGTGGACCTTTCTGTCTCGGGCGCCATAGACCTCCATTATTTGAATGTCAGCAGACAGCAAGAAGCCTCCCAGATCTCCAGATGCATTTGAGATATCAAAAAAGTACTCCAGAGTTTTGTTCAGCATGGGGGTGAGTAGAAAATGAAGGCTAATCATGTTTTGGGTGTACTATTCCTTTAAAGTCTATCAGGCCGATTCCTTCAACATCCAGCCACGTCCAAGGATTCAATTCAAATCACTGTTATCTGCATGCAGGTCAGCACACAAAACCTGGTCTTGTCAGTACAGTCCAATCAGGTAGCAGTATTCCTGCTAATAGTTCAATGCTGTAGCTCTAGCAGGAAAATCCATCCATCATCTCCCACTTATTCCGTCAGGGTGGTGGTGCTTTTCGCCAGAATTCTACAAGCGAGAGGCGTGGTTCACCCTGGACAAAGTTGTCATTCTGTCACAGGGCAACACATGCTGGTGAAGATTCTCAGTCATCCAGGTAATAGTCATTCCAAAAAAAGTATTTAAGAAAAAAAACAAAACACTGGACTTTGATTCCAAGTTTGAAGACATTCAAAATGTCCCGTTAGGAATGGGGAGTCTTTAGGGTTGTTTTTTTAACCCAAAACAAGGTTTTTGGGCTACTGTTTAAAGCTTCAAACTCAATGTTAATTTGAACCTTTTGAATTGAAAAAGCTTCCTGGATGGGAGGTGAAACGTCTTCAAACTTGCAAACAAAGTCCAGTGGATTCTTTTTTTTACTTTTTTGGAATGACAGGGCAACTCACAAACACAAAACCATATACAACCATGCACACTTACACCCTCAAACCTAAGGACAATTTAGAGATACCAGTTAACCTAACAGTCATGTTTTTGGAGTATCGGGAGAAACCGAAGTACCTGCAGAGAACCCACATATGCTAACGGATAACATGCAAACTCCATGTGGATAGAACCCGGAAACTTCTTTTTGAAAAGCAACAGCTCTAAAAACTGTGCCACTGTGCAGCCATAGTAGGCTTTTTAAAATCAGCATCCCCTATTTCAAGCGCACACAAACACCCTCTGCTCACTATCAACTGGGCTTTGAGCCGCTCTCATGATAAACCGAACTTCTCCACTCCCTTTTTTATCAATTAGATCCAAAGAATCAGGTAGGTGACAGATTTGGAATTCTAAACAGCACATTTTGTTGAAAGGTAAGCACGTAATTTGCAAGAGGCAAAGACAACACTCTTCTGATCCCCAAACAAGACCTCCTTTGGTCCTTGGCTGTCAACATCAGTTTATCTTTGACCAATAGTAGGATGGCAAAAATATTAACCTTCTCTAAAGCTCCCTGGCTGATGGACTGGGTTGGAAGGATCAAGGTGGCATCCCCTGAGTGTACACCAGCATCTTCTACATGCTCTGTTATAGCATGGACAAGAACCTAGAAAGAAAGATGTTAAAATAAGATATGTTAAAATTAATAAAAAAAAGAATCAATTCTCCTAGTAAAGACATAGCTTTGCAAAGCAAAAGAGAGGCCTTCCCATCACTACTTATCTTTCCACAGCTATTCCTTTGAGATTACAAAAAAGCTTTAGGCTACAAAACGTTTTTTTTTTTTTTTTTTTTTTTTTTTTATCTGTTTATACCTAAACTATGATGAACAATACAGCATGTAGTGTTAATATTTCCAGAGCTGATTCAACATCAAATTTAATAAAAAAAATGTTTTAAAATAAAATAGGAATGTTTAGCACAATGACACAGCTAAAGGGGTGTTCTACTGCTATTTTGTCATTTTTATAAGGAAATATCCTAGATCTACTCAGAAAAACTCTGTACGCTCCACCCAAAGGAGAAAAGATATGAATACACCACCCCCAAATCTGTGCAAGGATGTGGCTGTAAATGAGCTGCTGTGTCATTAGCTCATTGGAACTGCTACTAACCACAGTGTTCATTAGCACTCTTTAGATACAGCCTGTAATTAATACGTATTATCTCCAACTTTTTCCACTCTCCTGTGCACATACACACAAGTTATGATGGCTGTTTGGTATTCTCTGAGTGGACGGCTTGTTAATGTGATACTGAAGATAAAGGAGGAGCTGTATTCAGAGAAGACAGAGGGAGAAAATCTGCCGTAGAAGTGGATAGCCCACGTACAAACTGACACCCTTGAAATGACTCTTGCAGGCGAAACAATAGAAAAACAGACAGGGTGTTCAGGGGAAATCACTAACTGCAGCTTACTCTGCAGATGGAACGTTAGGAGTATTTAAAAGTTATGCTACTGTTATTCAACTACTTTATTTGTCTAGAGAGGAACGTGCAATATTGTTCTGCATTCAAAGAAAAGAGTAATGACAAAAGGAAAAATGTTGAATAACAATGATGAATAACAATGACTTTATGTGAAAAAATAGTAAGTCTAACAAATAATGTAAAAGTCTAATATGCAGACTAAGCAGTATATTTAAGATTGCAAAAATAAGCTTTATAATTTTTGTAATAAGAATCAAGAACAACAAGAATAATAACCTTCCCATTGCTAGCCACAGCATCCACTTCTACTTCTCTGGCACCTCGTATAAACTTTGTGATAACGACTGGATGATCCTGAAAGAAACACAACAGGAAGATTGCCTTTTTTTATCAGAAGTAAATACGAAAAAGGAGTCCTTGGTGTGGACAGTATTCATGTTCTATGTAATGGTATTCTTTCAACAGCAATGACTGCTTAAGGTTGAGGTAATAATATACAATGATATTCCAGATTTATTAGCACCTAAAATATTGGTTTTCATGAGTTAAGAGAAACCTTAGTTTGTGACCTCTTAGCTGTGCCTGTAAACAAATTACATAACAGAGTCAGTATGATGGCATTCTGTAACATGGTGCTATTTTGGCATACTGACTAAAACATCCATGAAAGGTAATTTATCAATAAATTTGGAATTGTTTAGTTTTGTGGAAGGCAAATTACTAACTATGATCAAAATTAATATGAGTACGTACTCATATTAAAGCCCCTGTCACACCTTGACCAATTAGAACAGCATATGCCTGACGTTAGAATAATATGGCAAAAACGCTGTCATACGTTGCATAAGTTATGGGTATGTTGTAATGAGTTATAAGTATGCTGAAACATGCTAGCACACGTTGACATACGATAAATTTTGAGCATGCTCAAAATTTCCCGACGTATGCCAACATATGCCCATACATGGGCCATAAGTTACAGATAAGTTGTCTGATCGTTGACATACTTTAAGTGTAAGTTACTCTTAAGTCATGGTGTCTAACTTATTCAAAACCTATGATTAACTTGTGCATAACTTATGTGCAACTTATCAAGAACTTATCTTGTATAAAAGGGGGTTCACAGGAGGAAACCGTCAGTTTCCCCATCATAGGGTGAGCGAGAAGGTGAGTGTGAGGGATCCTCCCTGCATTCACACCCACGGCCATGACTTACAACCTTCATAGCAGACATGATGCTGAATCTGCTACGATTGCAAACCTTCTTTCTTTCGTTTTTCTTTTTCTTTATTCTTTTTTTGGGAGTGGGTGGTAAACAGCAGCTAGGTTAACACCGTAGTCAAAGAAATCTATTTATGCAGGCGCATAAATGCCTCCAGGCGCAGCTTTAACTGATACAAGCATCATTTTATGGGAATTACACTGCCGTGCATTATGTGTAAGTTAGGCTGTCGTTGGACATAAATTCCAGACTCGTTATGAATATGCATGTATACACCAAAAATGTAAAAAATACATAGAAAGTTCAGCATATGCCAGCGTTTTAGGAGATTCTGGGACATCCGGCATACGCTCTCTAAATCGGCAATGTATGACAGGGCCCTAACCAAGAAGCTGCAAAAGAAAAAAAAAATGCCCTCAAGTGTACACATAGAAGAATGAGAACTGGAGGTACAATCTTAACTGTCAAGAAAGTTAGTATAAATATACTTTAATATATTTTATTTAGGACTGGCGACCTGTCCAGGGTGTACCCCGCCTCTCGCCCATTGACTGCTGGAGATAGGCACCAGCACCCCTCGCAACCCCACTCGGGACAAGCGTGTAAGAAAATGGATGGATATTTTATTTAGCTAAATTTATAAAATTTATTTTGCTATTTTGCTGTTGTAAATAATGAGGTTTATAGCCATTACAGTTCGGCAACTAATGTACAGTAATACTGGTCATAAAGAATATCTTGAGGAAAGAATCAAGTAAACCACTACTATTACTATTACTGGTTATTACTGAAAATTCGACAGTAGATAGATTTATATTCTAAATTTAGCTTTCATTTATGTACACTATATCAGGTTAATATTTTAGAATGCCAACAACTACGGCAAAGAAATAAAAAATAAAAAAACTTAGTCTAATAAGTCTTCCTTAGAAATTTGCCATTGCCATTGCCTTAAAAATCCAACAAAATATTAAAGTATGTTATTTGTAAAAAAAAAAAAAAAGAAAAAAAAAAGCCATTGTAGTGCATGATTGTCCCTGAGTTTTTCATTACAAAAGACTAGATACACTTCTGGACAAGGTTTTGGCGCTTTGGTATCAAAGAAGAGCCGGTGCAACATCGCTGATGAGTTGAAGTCAATTGTATGATGTCATAGATCAAAAAACATAAATCTGATTATGTTTTCACATACTTTGTAAAAGACTAATCTGCATTAAAAATAGGTATACTGGGAGAAAAGTCAGAGCTTCAACTTAAGTGATTGGCTCAAGTAGATGTTAAACCTGCTCAGAATAATAGTAATCTTTCTGGAATGATCTTTAGGTATTTGCCTTTTTATCACTTAGGTGTTTCTGATAGATTTTGCTTTTTTTTTTTTTTTTTTTTTACTGAATTAGTTCATTTCTTATTTAAGTTTTTTAAGTTCATTAAGGTGTTTTACTCTCAGCGTTTACAATTATTTATCTTAATTCAAATCCATTTAGTGTATTAATATAGTGGCAATTCACAACACATCTGAAGGCATTTTATGCAGACAACTCCACAAATCATACAACGAAAGTATTCTCTAAGGATATATTCTCAGTCTTTCTCCCCTTGAATTTTTTGTGACTAAGCTGTCCAGTTAAGCTTCCTTTGTGTTAAGTGGTATGCCACCTTTGGCCAACCAGTCAGCAGCTTTCTTCAACTAACACTATTTGCCTCCCTTTTCCCAGGCAACAGGGCATGCCCCTAAACTACCAAGAACCTTTTGATTGTTTTAGACATGCTGGATCCACCTAGTGTTGAAAGACAGCGTGTTTTTGAAACAACACATACAATATGTATCTGCCCATCCAAGTTCTACCTATAGGAGCAGCACATGGGACAGGTAACTTTGGGGCGTCAGGATTTTTAGAAACAGCCGTGTCCTCTAGGAGGTATTTGCCTGCTTTTTAGACAGTAAGAACAACATTCTGCTCCACTGGCCAGCAAACTTAGTAATGTATGTACTCATGTGCCTCTCATAATTTTGTAATTGTAGATGTTGTAGCTTTTGGAAAAATACAGTTGAAAACAAAAAAGATGAATACAATATTCTTATGCACTGTCTAATATTTGCCTTCAAAGGAAGCTTAAGTTGACATCTTCTTTGCATCTTCCAATTTATTTTAAAATAAAAGGGGTATTTTATGGTTTTTAAATAAATCAGATCTGATTTTGATTATCTTTAGTTTAAAAATACTGGAATAATCAAGAGAAATGGATAATTCTTTATTCTGAAGAAAAACTGTTTGACATTCTCATTAAGTTTGAGAAAGTAACATTTTTAGGGCTTCCTTGGTTTTAATATTGAGTCTGAGTTATTTCACAATAACTAAATATTTCTCTCCCCACTTACATGTTTAACATAATAAAACAATAGAGACGTTACATAATAATAACAGTAATAATGAGGCATAAACCCACAGAGCGGGGAATGATGTCACAACAAAATAAAGAGCATTCAAAATGGAGATCACAAAAAAAGAATTTTGATGTTTGTCTTTACTTTTGTGAACTTAGAAAGAAGTGCTTACTTTACACTTTATTTCCAAAAAACTGGGTGCTTGAACCCCTACTGGATACAGAAATCAGAATATTTTAAACTTCTGAGTACCAACTAATTCAGTTGGATTTTCTACTTTATTAAGTGCTCTAATTGTTTTCAGACAGATAGCTTTCGACAGTATGTAAAGATAATATAAATACCACAAAAAAGCATCCCTTTTAAGTAATTAAATAATAGTTTATAAATAATAATGTTCAGTATCACATTCTTTATATTTTTATTATCACTGAATCACAGGTGACAGACATCAACTGCATAGTTTATCTGATAAGATTGAGATACTGAGCTCTCTTTACTTTAAAACTGTATAAATTATTTAAAACTAGGTTAAAAGGCTTGTCTTAAAGCTCTAAATGAGCATATTCCTTTTCTCCCAGTCACAGATAGAGACCAATGAATTTTCTGGTCATCCCCAAATAACCTTGGTGTTTAGTGAGGTGGAGGCACACAGTACTAACCAGTACCTTTGACAGTTGGCAGCATGAGTTTTAATTGAAATCAGAGGGAAACCGCAGCACATGCACTCTCCCAGTGCTTCTGTGTGAAATGGTTTAAAGGTAATTCTGTACTCAGCAACTTTGTTTAATATAAATCAAAGGACAAAAACATGAAACATTTTAAAAATATTAGGAGGGAGAATGTCTGTTTCACATGTGCAGACATGTACGCTCAGATTTAACACTTTCTCTCACCTGGGAAACCTGTGTAGCCTCCTCCAAGAAGCGTTTCATTTCTTCCTCCCCATGGACAACATTCATGGCAGAGCCACTGGTGAAACACATGCAGGCAGAAGAAGGGAGAGAAAAAGGAAAAGAAGAGAAAAACATGAGGGCACGGAAGATGAAGAGAGGCGAGCCAACAGGAGAACATACAAGCTTCAAATGATTGTTCAAAACACTCATTATCTCTCTATTGCATCACTATTACCATAGGGAACAAGGTCTGGAAACAGTCAAAATGAGGAGCGAGAGAGAGTAACGGCGAAGAACAGCTATTTAGGTCGAAAAGCACTTCAGGCTCTTGAAAATGAGTTCAGAACTTCATCATTAAAAAAACAACAGATTTAGGCTAGTTTTGTTGTGGTTGTTGTTTTTGATTTTAGCTGGGTTATCATCCTGTTCGAAATGAAGGGTTTGAAAGAAACAGGAAGAGGTAAGGCCGAAGGCTTCAGTGAAATCTTTATTCCTCTCTTCTCTGCGGCTCAAAGTCAGACATACGTTCAACCCCCTAAAGAATACCGGCCCTCCATTTGAATAGGAGAGATTTGATTTAGAATGTACTCAAATCAATCTTTGACATGTGTGACATCTAATTTTGGCATCAGTATGCTCTGGAGAACGAATAATCAAAGTGAAGCAATGATTTCAATGTATTGCATGTTTCAAACTAATTGCTCACAAGTAAGGACCTGGTTTTCAAAGAATCCAAATAATGAGTGTTAATTGTGTTAGCAAAAAAAAAAAAAAAAAGTATACATGCAATAAGTGTTCTGCCCAATTTAAGAAGTAGAGTAATGTCTACTGCAGGAAGTTTGAGAGTGGCTGTAAAACAAAGATGAAGTTACTAGTCATAGAGATGGGGGTAATAATGTGAATCCTTAATCTAAAAACAATGAAAATGATAATCATAATTAATAATAGTTATAGTGTACTTTACATAAAAAGTTAACGAATTAAGAAATGAAAATAAAAAAATAAAAATTTATGTTTACAATCTGATAAGGCGCCTTGAGATGACGTGTTGTGAATTGGTTCTATATAAATAAAATAAACCGAAATGAAATTGAATTGATAATTAAACTTTTAAAAATTTTAAGTTATTACGTATTCAATCCTAAAGTAGCTAAACTCATTAAACGTGCTTTAGATCACATTGTTCCTGGTTGCTGCAGCCGGTCCTACGGTCCAGTTCTACATATAGAAAAAAGTGTTGCTCAATGAAAACACATGATTCAAAAGTGCAAAAATGAGCTTCCCTTTTCCCATTCATCAGTAATGATTCATAGACATCCTGGCTCTTTAAAAGTGCAGGTGAAGTGAAAAAATATCACAGTAAGGAGCTGAGCTTTAATATTTAATATTATTTTTACTAAATTCCTTGAACAGCAAGTGATTAGAGGATAAGAGAAGTGATCATACAAACCATTGTCTGTTTAATAATACCTGTAATAGTGTTTAGAAGAAACAAAAAGAGTGTAAAGAAGGTCCTTTCATGATGTAGATTGAGTTATGCTGGTCATGTTTGGAAATGCAGCAAGGTTTGACAATGATATGCTGATCCACTGCAGACGAGGATTGGAAATATCTGCCTTATTCAGAAGAATGCACAGATTAATATTCCTTTAACATGCACCTTGAGATCCTGATCTGGCGCAGATGCTGACAAGCAATAAGGTAATTTATGCCTGTAATATATAATTATGGTATCACACCATAGTACAGTTGTTTTCAGACATCTAATAGTGCAAGCCAGAGTTCAGCGGGAGCTGAACTGAGACCATCTCTTGCAGCTTAAAGAGTCGGTTGTGCTTTCATACAGTACAGATCCATAGGAACCAAATTTAGGTCTAGATCAACCTAAAACTGCAGGTCGGAACAGACCCTTAAATACCCCATTATGGCTTTGTTCCAGGTAAAAAGGTGAGAAAGATTAAAGGTCTCACCTTACCTAATTTTGAAGTTCTAACTACCAAAAATCAAATGCCTTAGATATTCCAAAAAAGTAAAAAAACAAACCACTGGAGTTTGTTTTCCAGGTTTGAAGACTTTTCGCTTCCCATTCAGAAAGCTTTCTCAATTCAAGCCTTGTTCTTGAAATATGTGGTGGAAAGACAAAGGCCCAGTAGGGTACAGATGTGGTCTGGAGTAAAATTAGTGCTATTGTTTAGATCACTATCTAGCCTTGTTTGGGTAGGAATCAAGTGAGAAAATCATTGCGGTTGAAGCCCTGAATAAATCACTCAATAATTTGCTTATTAAACAAGAGGGGGTAAATTTAGTGTAAATACCTAAAAATACAAATTCCTTTGAATCATTTTTTTCTGTATGTCTAGTGAGTCGACTTGGCGATTCTTAAGTTTGTCCAGGATAACAGATACCAGTAACAGATACCAATGTGTGAGTGACACAAATTGGAAGTATCCTCATGACCAGAGCGTGCAGACCTGAACAAAACTGAGACAGTAAATGACTCATTCATAAACAACCCCTAATAATTCACCCCGTAACCTTTGAAGTTATGCCAAGTTCAAAAGCCAGTTCCCATCTGTTTTATATAGAATCAGAGAACAATGATTTATCTTTTATTTATTTTTTTCCCTGCCTTTCTCAGTTCACAGCTCTAGGACAGTTCGATAATTGAAAAAAATATTAGACCATTGTTTTGTATGTGTGTTCATGCAACTCTTCTGCTGATATACTTTTTTAGAAAACCCTATTTTTTTTCATAACTGCATGTATTGTTATTCAGGTAAATTTCATCATCAAATAAATTTCATTTGTTTCACTAATTAAGAAGTAAAATGTGTCTAAAAGCTAGGTTTCTTTTTTTATAGTGTGTTAAGTACCACTTGCATTTCTAAATCTAGTCATTTAAAATCTTAAAAGACAATAAACTAGTAGTCAACTTGCAAACACAATTGAGGTATTTTCTAAAAGCTTTAAAATGAGCTTTGAGCACTGATTGCAAACATGATTGAAAAAGATAAGAGTGTGTTTTGTATAATTACGAAAGCAGTTGAATAATTTTGATTAGAGAGAGTTCATAAGAATCTAGTACCAAAGAAAAAAGGGCAAAAGCTTCCTTTTTAACAGCATTAGAGACACGATAACTAGGACTTGTAATGTCAAACTTAATTAATGGAAAACATCTCTTTACTAAATTCAATCAGTTTGACATTTGGAAGAGTCAAATGTTATTCCCTGATGAACACTCTTGTGCTTATTTGTCTTTTGTTGCTTATGCAGATCTGTTTTAAAGGAACATCACATCTTTTGCAAGCCCAAAAACATCGGAAACATCAAAAACCACATGAACTCAGTTATGCAAAGGGATCAGTGACAACCAAAGTTCTGTTTTAGGGTGTCTTCCTGACATCTACTGGGCAGACATTTTACTGCATAAAGGTTGTGGGACTTTTCAAGTCATCAATCATAATAAAAAAGCATTTGAATGATTAAGTGATAACATGATTAATAAAAGCGGTGGGGGTTTACTGTACAAAAGCTGACTGGTGTTTAGGTAATTGTTGCAGCATTTTCAATGTTTTAAATGTACAATTTTTTTTTTTTTTTGTTTGTTACTTGCAAACATTGTAGACAAAGATAATCAATTATTGGCAGAAAGTTGTAACCTGACAAATACCACAAGGGTGCTACAAGAGATTGACATCAACATTTAAAAGACTGCTTATGAGTTTGGAATTACGTAATACTAATACTTCAATGGTTTAGAAATTACAAAACATAGACATAACTAAACTTACCTAAGAACATAGGACGGTCGAAGCAAGCAAGGATAGCCCACATGGTTGGCGAATGAAAAGGCATCATCCTGGGAAAAACAAAAACGCAGAAGATACAAGATGGTTACTGATACAACATGATTCACTGAAAAATTGGGTGGTGACCAATATCGACTGATTTACAGCTAAAGTTACCCTGACCACTGACTGTCGAAGTCACAGACTGAAAAATTATGTTTCTTTCCAGTCACTAATTAGCCATACATATAGGCCACTACCCACAATGCTTTTTAATTACTGTGTTAAGACACATTATTTGGTATATTCAGAATCTGGCACTCGACATTAAGTTGATAAATATAGTAAGAAAGAGGAGATTAAATTTAAAAGGCACATGTGACATCTATTGTGAAAAAAAAACTGAATACTGTTCATTCAGGCTCTTATAATACAGAGCTATGCATATTGCACTGTAAAAATGTGTTAAATTAAGTGTATTTATCCTTAATTTGAGCAGGTAAAAAAGATGATCTGCCAGTGGAATGAGTGCTTTTAGATAATATGCACTTAAAATAAGACAATGTAGTTGTTGCTCTAATTTTAAATATATATTATCTTGTACCAATGGCAAAGTGTCTCATTTACCTGCTCAATTCAAGAAGAAACAGACTTAATTAGATATATCCTGGAATGCTTTGTGCGGAGAGCTCTCCTCGCAACGCCACATAACTAATCTTGATAATTAAACTTAGTTATTAGTTATTATGTATCCAGCACACGCTGGAGGAGGAGTTATGTGACCAACGGGGAGCAAAAAGTAGAGATCATCTGTCCGAACAGTAAGTTAACTGAGTTTGCTATAAAGGTTACTATATAGTCCTATATAGAGCAAGACCAAGGAGAAATGGGTGTATGCTCTGGCACGCATTTAGTAGACATTCCCTCTCTGGAGCAGGAACAGGGTTGTGCATGTGAATTTTTTTTTAAGTGGAGAGGGCAGGTCTTTTAAAAAAAATCACGAATATCCTCCACAATACCTTTAATTAATAAATTAGTAACAGGAAAAGCAATGGGAAAAGCTTATGTTGAACACTGTTTAATGCCAGTGGCTGATGAACTGTCATTAACTAAAGTTTTTCTTATACGGTTAGATTATTCACACATATTGTTAAACTGAAAGTCAGATTGGAAATCTGGCATATATCTGATCAGTGTACCTTAAGGTTATGCTGGTCTTTAACTATTACCTTTTATAATTTACTTCATATAAAACAGGCATAGGGTCCTTCCTCCTAATGCCAGACAGAGCAGGAAAGGCAAAACAAATATCCTCACAAAAAGGAGAATAACCATAAATTCATCATCTTTGTCTTTTTAAAAACTTTAATAGTTATAGAATGCACTAGATGAGACTCAGCAGGTATAGATTGTTTGAATCACCATTCAAACAAGCTTTGGAGTTGGATGAAGCGATATAAAATGGCAGCCCAGACAGTGACAGGAATAATAACTAGTGTTTTCGCATGAAATTTTTTTTTTCTTGTGGAATTTATTCTGATGTTTTTATGTGAAATATATAAATTTCCCATTTTGGCAGTATGTTTGAACTGATTTCATTATGCAAATTTAAATAAATCCATCAGCGATCGTCTATAAGGTTGTTAGCAATTATGTGAAATGATTACACTGAACTGTGATAACTAATAAGTTTTCTACTTTGTTTTTCCCCCAGCATCTTCACCAGAGGAATAAATTCCCTCCATAAAGCTCTCATGTGTCCTCAGTTTGTTTGTCATCATGCCCTCCTGCTGTTATGTTCTTTTCTTTGTTTTGTTTTTATGGCAGATGCAAGGGTCTTTGCAAAGCTTAAACTTGGAATTGTGCTCCAGTAATTGAGGCATGATTTTAGAGATCTTAAACCCCCACAATCTGAAAACATATGACACATAAAGAGTTTAGAGAACAAAGCTGAAAACTGCTCAGATTGATAAATTAAGGATAAGAGATTTATTAAAATGTTGAGGTACAATAACAGATGGTGACATTGTCTCTATGACAGGAAAGTGAGGCAGCTATTTTCAATTCAGTTTATTTATAGAGCATCAATTCACATCTCAAGGCACTTGACAGTTCACCAAATCATACAGTCAAACTGATTCAAAGTTTTAAGGAAAACCAGGTGATTGCATTGACTCATTGACTCGAAGGCAATCCCTCTTATTAACCATGCTTGAAGCGACAGTGGAGAGGAAAAACTCCCTTTTAACAGGAAGAAACCTCCCGCAGAACCAGGCTCAGTGTGAGCGGCCATCTACCGAGGCTGACTGGGGCTCAAGGAGACAGAAGCAGAGATACAAAAGGCAATTGTAAAAGGAGGCCCCATCAACTAGTCGTCTTCATATAACTAAAACCATCACAGAACTGCACAGATCGCCAAATCGAAATCCTTTCTTTCCCCAAATGTTTTGTCTGACCTCTGAAGACAAGAAAAATTGTCATAGCATTACAAAATAAATTAGTCTTTTATTAGAAATGCATCTAATTGTTTTTATTCAGACTAAAAAAAGGATGACTAAACCAATATCTGCCTAAAGTATCAATAACTGCAGGCCTAACTTAATATGGAAATGCATTCCATATTATATGTTACGTAGTGTAGGTATGGTTGAGGGTCTGTGATGTTTTAAGCCTGTTTCTTGCCCCAAAGGCCCTTCAACCTCCTTATTTTACTCCATAGTATTGTGAACTTTTTAAAAATAGCAAGATATCTTTATATAAACTGGAAAATCAGACATCAAAGTAAACATTGCGATGCGATTGTCTATCTTAAAGTATACAGTAGTGATTCAAATGGTTTAAATTAGCAGAGTGATAGATAATCGGATTCAAACTCAGATCCAGTCCTCCACAAGGATATCAAATCCCAGAACTAAATCCAATGGAAAACTCAACAGGAAAAGAGAAGTAAGCAATAATGGAACTTAACCTTGGTACAATATCTTAGAGTATTGCATAAAGTAATATTTAACATCCCTCTCTCCTTGTGCATTCCAACTAAATACTAAAATGTTAAGCAAAACAATGTGCTATTCTACTGGAATAGGGGTTTTATAAAAAGCATTAAATCCAAGAGGGCCAAAATATCTGCTAAACATTTAATCATCAAATGCATTAACACCAAGAGGTCCAAAATATCTGTAATACATTTAATCAAAAAAGTAATTTTTCCCCATACAGTATAATACATTTAAAGAAATAAAAAAATAATAATTTTTAGGTGAGAATTTATGCTACTGCTTAACCTGCTCTGAAAACACATGAATTAAAGCTGCGCTCGAGAGAGTGCATAATGTAGCTAATCCAAAAAATAAAAGAAACAATGTAAGCGCTTTTCAGCCTATTTCAATTTACTTTTTTCCTCTACCCAATAAGTTTCTATGAAAAATGAAAGAATTATGAGTAGGAGCAGTGGAAAGAGTCTGGTAGTTAAGGAAAAGACTGTATGCCTTACTCCTCCTTGTCATCATTATCATTACCACGCTTTCTCCTCGCTTCCGTCTCTCCTCCTGTTTAGCAGTTTCCTCACATTCATTACCCACAGTTTCCTTACCAGGTGAGGTAACATTTATAAACACAAAAGAGCTTTAGAGAAACACGAGACTCCTCTCCCCTCACTTGCTCTAGGCTATTAAAAACAAAATACCTCCTAAAGAGCAACAGATACCGTAGTGAACATGTAAATATATAGAGAGACTATCAGTTCTCTGTATGTTTTTCTGCTAATAATTAAATCTAAATTGATTTATTTGAAATACAATCTTAATTCCGTATTATAATAGAATATATATATATATATATATACACATACATTCTATTATACATACAACTGTAAACATCCAGCATTAAAACATAGAGAACCAAGAATAAGATAGTTGCAAAAAAAAAAAAAAAAAAAAAAAAAAAAAAAAAAAGGAAGCGTTCATATGTGGATGCACTGTATATACTGTATATATCCCATGCACCCTTTTTTCTTCCTTTGGCACCATCTTCTTCTCCTTTGACTATTTGAGCTGCGATCATGAGATCAATTAAGTAAATGAATCAATTCACCAATACAATTGTTTAAAAAAAATTGCACAATAGCTGAATATTTATTTATGATACCATAAGAAAGTACAAGGTACTTTATAATCATTCTATTTTTGTTTATCAATTTATTCTTTGACTAATCAGCTTTGGCAACTAGTAGTGAATTCAAATCAAATTACATTCATTTCAGTTTTTTCAGCATAGTTCTATCTATTTTCTTCTGAACTGCTGTGTGTCCTAACTGTCCCCTGGCTTCATAATAGACCCAGGTTTGAGTTTTGTACATCAAGTTCAGCTACAGTGACTTGCTGGCTCTGTCTGAGCAACTTTTAAAGCAAACATGGTGGAATGAGTGTCTGCTTAATTGAATGAGTTTAATAAGTTGGAATTAACTGAATCAGTTTATAAAGCTGTGAATATGAAGTAGTTGGCCTGGATGCTCTTTAGTGTGTGGATGATCTGTAGGGTTTAACTGCATCAGGTTAGCATCACAAACACAGCTGAAGAGATTAGGAAAAAAATTTCCCTTTCTTAACCTTTCAATGCATTCGGTGAAGTCAAACATGTCATGCACCTGCTTTATTGCTGCATGAATATTTTAACCCAGAAAGACTCCCATGGAGAAAAAGCAGCAATTAGAAAGTTTTATGGAGTTGAAAAAATATATACGTTTTTGGTGCTCAGACCCAGACAGAAACAGTTGGTGCTGAATGCAGTGGATCTGCTTGAGCAGGAAGATCAAAAATTAAATACGTTTTTCCAAGGGAGCCTGACACTGGTGGTGGAATCGAAGCTGGAGAATGAAGGGAGCCATAAAGAGGCCATTGAAATAAAGATGGTGAAGAGCTGGAGGAGGGGTGCAGTTCGGGTGGAACTGTAATGTTCTCGGTTTTGGAATTTTAAACACAAAATGATGATTGGCTGCTGACATGCATTAGCAGGGGCACACAAGGAGGTGATTAGTAGTCAGGTGACTTTCTCTTAAATACACATTGAGGCTGAATCTAGCCAGAGAAATGAATGTAACTTTTTGATCAGCATATTAGTACAACAGTATTTTATTAAGCATATATAATAAGATATGCAAAATTTAAATTAGAAAGACTTCTGAATAGAACAAATACAGTACATACTATAGTCTTGAATGTTACATTTTAACTGAGAAGATATTTCTTCTTTTGCTGTTAAATTTAAGACTGAAGTAACGCCTACGTGTTTGGGGGTTTTCCAATTCAGTGTCAACATATTGGATATTCAGACGACAAATCTGTTTTTTTTATTACTGATATTAACATATATTTTTTTTTTTTTTTTTTTTTTTTGCAGGCCTAAATATACAAAGTAACAGTTTTAGTGCATTGATTTTGTCATCCTGGAGAAACATACTGTTTTTCTGTTATTTTATTGCTCTTTAAATAATTTATAAATTATTATTTAATTTCTACTTTTGCATTCTTAAAAGGCATAAATATTCATCAACATACCACAGGAAAACAAAAGAACTTCTTCCCCAGATCGAAACTGGTTAAAGCATTTTCAAAACAAGTCTATAGACGGACGACAAAAAATAGATTTTTTTGTTGTTGTTATTTTTGTTTTAACAGTAACATTTGTGTATATTGTGTTGGTGACATGAAGGTGGTCAAAATTATTCTTATTTAATACCTGCTGTTGCAGATTTATATAAATAAACAAGTAAAAAAAGGTAAATAAAACATTTTCTTTTACTGTTATATTGCTGTGTAACTGTTATTTTATTAATGACATTATGCCTGCTATAGCAAATTTGCAACATACCGACATTTTTGTGCAAAAGTAAAATGAATAATCTCAACATTATTTACTCTACTTAAAGGCAAAAACACACATAGAACATTTTTTTATATACAGCTATATAAATTCAGCATTTAAGGGCTTAATATAACCAAACCTTTGTTCATCTGTTTTATATAATGTATGGGACCTAAAATGTGATGACATTATGTTTTAGGTAATTGTTAAAAAACAAGAAATTGAATGAAAAGTCATCTTATGGTTTGATAGAACATATTATACACAAAATACATCCCATAATGCTTCAGTAATAAAACGGAGAACTAAAAAGTTAAACACTAAGTCCCAACTGCATTGTATACCCATTATTAAGCAGTCTCAGAATGCTAATCACATATTTAAACATATTTTTTTAAACAACCCTAATTAACCTCGTCTTCCGCTCAGCCTTGTTAATACAACCAAAATAAACACTGTGAATCAAAAATAAGATTAATGGAAAAGACAAACAATGGCCAGGCCCAGAGCCCAGAGTACAACTAATTGAAAAATGTATTTTAAAAAGTCAAGGACAAATTAGTCTTGACACAGAACCTGATGTTCATACCTTTATTGATCAGCTCTTTAGACATCAATAAGGAAGTATACTTGTATTTTCGGTAACCTATTAATAGTGTTACTTTGCATGTTTTAAGCAAAATTCATGAAAACAAAATATTGCCAACAGGGGGTGTGAATATATTGTTCAAATTGGTTATATTTGTTGTAAAGGTTCTGGTGAATCTGTGAGATTCTCTGAAAAAGTCAATACTATAGTACATTTCCCCTTTAATATATTAGAACTGAACTTGGAAACTTTTACACATCAACTATGATAGATGTGAACTCAGACCATTTGAAATCAAAAGTGAATTAATCAGAAATATAGAGCTTTTAAATAACACAAGTATTATTTTCTTACCAGGGAACTTAGTGCCTTCCATGGAGCTTGGGCCACCTCAAGATCATCCAGAATGCTAGAAAAGATTGACCGTTCCTCAGCCCGGTCAATCTGCAGAGGGCTTGTCCCCAGAATCTTTACTCCACTGTTGTGCAAAGGGATGGCCAAGTTGTTTGGGATCTGACCTCCTACAGACACAATACTACCGGAGCACTCCTATGAAAAAGAGAAGATCGAATATATATGATGAAATACCATAAGGACGATTTGGAGAACTTATAACATTTATTAGTCTTAAACTGTATAATAAAATCACATCAAATCACACAAAAGGATAATTGATTGATAGACTATTGGTCTCACAGTGGAGAATTTTACTTAGCGTTGTATACTGTACATATACACTATATTGCCAAAAGTATTTGCTCACCCATCCAAATTATTGGAATCAGGTGTTCCAATCACTTCCATGGCCACAGGTGTATAAATTCAAGCACCTAGGCATGCAGACTGTTTTTACAAACATTTGTGAAAGAATGGGTCGCTCTCAGGAGCTCAGTGAATTCCAGCGTGGAACTGTGATAGGATGCCACCTGTGCAACAAATCCAGTCGTGAAATTTCCTCGCTCCTAAATGTTCCACAGTCAACTGTCAGCTGTATTATAAGAAAATGGAAGTGTTTGGGAACGACAGCAACTCAGCCACGAAGAGGTAGGCCACGTAAACTGACGGAGCGGGGTCAGCGGATGCTGACGCGCATAGTGCGAAGAGGTCGCCAACTTTCTGCAGAGTCAATCACTACAGACCTCCAAACTTCATGTGGCCTTCAGATTAGCTCAAGAACAGTGCGCAGAGAGCTTCATGGAATGGGTTTCCATGGTCGAGCAGCTGCATCCAAGCCATACATCACCAAGTGCAATGCAAAGCGTCGGATGCGGTGGTGTAAAGCACGCCGCCACTGGACTCTAGAGCAGTGGAGACGCGTTCTCTGGAGTGACGAATCGCGCTTCTCCATCTGGCAATCTGATGGACGGGTCTGGGTTTGGCGGTTGCCAGGAGAACGGTACTTGTCTGACTGCATTGTGCCAAGTGTAAAGTTTGTTGGAGGGGGGATTATGGTGTGGGGTTGTTTTTCAGGAGCTGGGCTTGGCCCCTTAGTTCCAGTGAAAGGAACTCTGAATGCTTCAGCATACCAAGACATTTTGGACAATTCCATGCTCCCAACTTTGTGGGAACAGTTTGGAGCTGGCCCCTTCCTCTTCCAACATGACTGTGCACCAGTGCACAAAGCAAGGTCCATAAAGACATGGATGACAGAGTCTGGTGTGGATGAACTTGACTGGCCTGCACAGAGTCCTGACCTCAACCCGATAGAACACCTTTGGGATGAATTAGAGCGGAGACTGAGAGCCAGGCCTTCTCGTCCAACATCAGTGTGCGACCTCACAAATGCGCTTCTGGAAGAATGGTCAAAAATTCCCATAAACACACTCCTAAACCTTGTGGACAGCCTTCCCAGAAGAGTTGAAGCTGTTCTAGCTGCAAAGGGTGGACCGACGTCATATTGAACCCTATGGATTAGGAACGGGATGTCACTTAAGCTCATATGTGAGTCAAGGCAGGTGAGCAAATACTTTTGGCAATATAGTGTATATTCAATACTCTTTAATCAGGTACCCTAAAACTGATAACAATTGAAGCAGGTTAAAAAGTCCCCTAAGAGAAAAGTATGGTATGTATAGTAGGAGACAGAAAACTGGAATTAGATTGTCTTATAAGATAATTAGAATCATAAAGAATAGTCGAAAACTAATGCCTAACATTGGTCTGCATATAGACCCTCAGTATAATGAAACATAGTGGTGGCAGAATCATTGTGTTGCTACTGTATATTTCCTCAGCAGGAACTGACATAGTATGAAGTGATGGAACAATGATTGATTTCTATATAGTCAGTTTATCAAAATCAGCCTACTTAGCTTACTGCTTTATAATTTTGCAGAGCAGCAGAGTCCAATGGCGTTAGGTCACTCTGGTTGCTGGCTCAGCCGGTTTCTTGGGTGGGATTTTCCCCTAAACCACTGCCTCAAAGTTGCCATGTCACTAGTTTATTACACTGTACTGAATTTGTTGGAAAGAGCTGCTTTACTGTAAGCTGTTATTTTTAGAGAGAAAGGACACCTTAAACTTGATCTGTTCAGTCAGTTCATCCAGATGATGAGCCTACTATTAAATGTGCTTACTGATTTTTTTGGAAAGGCAAAGCTTACGTGAGAGACTGGTCTTACTGGTAAGCTATTGATGATGCCGGTGTGCACAATTCATTTTTGATAGAATTATTTGCTTATATTGAATCTACATGGCACTGAGACTAAAGAGGAAAATCAGCTGTGTTCCTGCTACTGGCACCCAGTGGACAAAAGTTGTAGGGCAGTTTTTCTCAGGTTGAGTGAAATACAACGTAGTGTTCCACCGATACCAGTATCGGGCAGGGCCCCGATACTGCACTAAAATGGTGGTATCGGTATCTGCAAGTAACAACAAATAGGGCACCGATACCATTTTAAGAGCCAAAAGTTTATTCCATTCCAGGTAGGCAATAAAAAATTCTTCTAGATTCACTTTGTATTAGTCTTTTTCCTGCTTCACAAAGGTAGGCAGCAGCTTGACAAAGCCATGACAGCGAACTTTTTACATAAAAGTAGTATGCAGTTCTTCATATATACACACACATCAATTTCAAACAGATGGTATCGGTATGGTATCAGTATCGGCCAATACTGCACAGCCAGGTATCGCAATCGGGGCCAAAAAATGGCATCGGCTCAACATTAATACAATGTAGAGGAGCCTTTCACACAAATCGGTGACCCCAATCCTAGGTTTTTAAATACCTAGGCTTTAGGTGGTACTTTAAAGGGCTATTTCTGAACCATTTCTGGGCCAGGGCCTTAACCATCCACTTAAAAAAAATGTAGGCTAATAACACTGTATATTTTTTACTATTAAAATTATTAGTATTTTGATAGTCATTTTTAGTCTTCTAATGATTTGCACATCACCAGATGACAGATCTGTAAAATTCTATAGGAACAAAAAAGTCTCATGCATTCAAATTATGTTTATAAGTATCAACAAAAGGCAATCAACATTTAACTTTAATTGGATAGGACTTTAGAAAAAACTCAGAATGGTTAAAAATGTCAAATAAAACTTTCATTCCTTTTGAGACAGCATGAAAAGTCAGGTGAGTACAAAACAGAGAGGAAAACACGAAAATGGACAAGAAGAGAGGGAAAAAACATAGAACAAATTATGTATGTCTATTCAATTAAAATGTCTGTATCCGTATAATGGGTCTGTTTCATGTGTTGTCTTCTCAATCCAGAGAGCCCCATGCCTGTGTTTGCCTAGGGCCCCAAATTTCCTAAATCCCCTCCTGGCTACAAGAGTCTGATAATGCCATGCCTGTTTTAAAGTTGCCTTTAGTTTTACAAGTAGTAGTGTTGTTTATCTTTGGTGTAATCTTTTCTTTAAGCAAGCACAAACCAAAGGAGCTGCAGCACCCTCTTTTTGTTAATAGTGCTGCAAGCACACCCTTGTATCCTCCAAGTGCCCCTCAGAGGGCGGTACTGCCCCTGTTGAGAAACACTTCCATGAAAGCAATCTGCAGTTAGACTAAAGTCAATGTTGACAAATGTGTTCTTATCTGTGTGACTGAGCTTACGCTTTTATGCAGGAACTAAAAACTTTAACTTTAGGGAAAAGTGGTTCTACAGTACAGGGCCTAAATACATAATACCATGGAGAATTTGAAACCATGTTTTCCTTTTCTTTCCCTTATTATTTGGGTAATCCTTTTGCATTTTTCCTACCTAATCATTCATTCATAATGTCTAATTAAGATCTTTTAGACCTCAGCTAATATTGCATTCACATACCCATGTTAAAGTTTGAAGTTGTATGATATAACACAAATAGATCAAATCATAATATATTTGCAATGCATGTTATTTTGCTCCTGAAAATGTTTACACCATCTAACGAAATGTCAGATCTGATAAATATCATAAATCCGAGTATGGCTTGGTGAATCCAATTAGAGACAGGTAAGTAGCAATTCCTGCCGATGTTATGTGTCACTTGGAAATAAATGTGAGCAAATGTTATGCCCTCTGAAGTCATGGAAACAACTTCCTGCAAAAGAGAGAAAAAATGAGAATGTGCTTTTTAATAACTGCATGCAGGGCCTTTTCCTGTCTAGGTGATCCAAAGGGGATGCTGTTTCCATGGTAATGCTAGGTTGTGTCTGTTCATTATTCATGGACCTGCTCTCCTGCTCCTGTCCAGGGGTTATCACCATGCTCTAATGCTATATTTATTACTAATACCCCCCCCCCCCCCCCCCCCCCCCAAACACACAGACACACATGCACAACCCACCTATAGAACTGCAAAGAATGAAAATATAGCTGCAAAGGAGGAATTGATGGTAAGGCCAAATCCCCAGACAAACAAACACTTAATCACACTGTGTTCCCATCACAACTTTAACTGGATTACAATTGCTCTGCAGGGGAAGATCAGCGGTCATCAGTATGCCAATGCACGTAAATACATAGCAATCTAAACACAGAAAATGTCAAGATAACAACACCTTTGATTATTACTTGACATGATAAACATCAAGTTTAGTACAATGACATCACACAGAATATAAACAAACATTAAGATAGTGAGTATACATATATAAAATTGTTGGTAGACGTTGTTTAATGAGTCACACATTTCTTGAAACATGAAACAGGCCTGAGCAAAACTGAAGATAGTCTTAACTTAATATTTTTTTCCATTGCTCCTCCCAGCAGGTATTTTGACCCACTCTTCAAGAGCAAACTGCTCTTGTAGTCTAAGGATCCTTCTCTCCCGATATTCATTTGACTATTGTTGCTAATTCTTTCATTAAATGACGGTTACCAACGTATATAAATATATATATATATATATATATATATATATATATATATATATATATATATATATATATATATATATATATATATATATATATATATATATATATATATATAATTTTTATATGTGGTATTGTACAAAGAACCTCTTTGATAATTAGAATTATACTTACAGTATCCTAGTTTTCAAATGAAAGTTCAACAACAGTGCACTTTAATCAGTTTTAACTAAATTCCTAAAAGCAAAAAAATCAGACATTCTCAAATATCTTTAAACAGGAATCAACAGAATAATGCCCTAACCTCTTGTTGGGTTATATCAAGTATGCGTTCCAGTGTCAGCTCTTCAAAGTAAAGGTGGTCACACTCGTCAAAGTCGGTGCTGACTGTTTCAGGGTTGTGGTTGACCACCACTGTCTTCTTGCCAATTTGTCTCAAGGCTCTGATGCAGGACACTGCACACCAGTCGAACTCAACGCTGCTACCTAGTAGATTATAAAAATGAATATGTAGTCATGGTCATACAGCATGAATCTCTACACAGTGATAAATTAGCTGCTGTACTTTGATCTCTACTTTCTATTAAGGGGAGATCTATTTTAAGTTAAAACTACTGATCTAGAAACATTTATTTTGAATAATGATCATATTAAAAATAATCCTTTATTAACTTGAAATTTTAGACAAATTTCTCAATTGCAAACAGTTTTTTTTACATGTTTGTCCATTGTACTATATATATCAGCAACAGTAACCAACTAACAACAACTACTTCCATGATATAGCAGCATATATCAAATGCAGATTCTAAAAATATGAAAATAATATATATTAAAAAGTGCCTATAGTTTCCTGTTTTAATCCTATTTAACCTAGGAGTGAGACTTCAAAGATTAGTTAAAAACCTACCAATGTGGTAAGGTCCACAGCCAAGAACCATAATTCCCTGATCTTTGAACTCCAGATCATGCTCCTGGTGAGGTGAAACAAATTATGATTATTCGTTGGTACACAATGAAAAACAGATCACTTGGATACGGAAATAAACTAACTATAGTGCATACCTGACCGTGGTACGTGCAGTACAAATAGTTGGTCATTGCTGGGTACTCAGCTGCTAATGTGTCAATCTATAATAAAGGGAAATAAGTCAAATTGATGACATCGCAAAAAAAAAAATTAATAATAATAATAATTTCCTCTATAATAATTTCAAGAAAGAAGTTACATTGCAATCATGACTTATTTTTGAATGAGGACAGTTACATCGTTAGAATGTTGTTAAAAGCCTTCTAACTAGAAACAGCGAAGAGAGAATGCAGAGAGGTTGAAAAAAAAAAAAGGAGAAAATTTGGGCCCCAAAAAGACTAAATGATAAGAAGACTTTAGTTTAAAATGGCCTGCAATTTAAAAGCATGGTAAATTGACTCATATCTGAAAGATATTGTCAAAAATAGGGCAGGCAAATAATCTACAAGACAAAAAAATAAAGAGATATACAGTATAAAACAGAGCGTATTTTCATACTGTGATTCTTCTTACTTTTATATTAACTATCTTATTGGCCTTATAGAAAAGAAAGGAAACATCCTTTTAGGTACAGTACTACAGTGGGGAAACTGATTCTCTGCAATTAACCCATCCCTTAGGGGCCGGTGTGCTGCCACATTGAGTAGCCCACAGGAAGCAATCTGGAATTAAAAGTTTTGCTTAAGGACTTGAAGTGAAAGTCAGAGCTTTGAAACAGCAATCCTGCAGCATCGATAGGAAGCAAAGGCCCTGCTCTTTAACCACTACAGTAGGTCAATAGGAGATTCAAGTAATGTTCAAGAATCACAGTTACACAACTAATCAAAGACTAAATGATCAGATTTTTAAGTCTCTTTTGGCCAGTTTTAAAGAAAATTGTAAAAAGCAATTTAGTGCAGACATTTCTTAAATGTGTAACCAAAAAAAACAGGATCGACTGAAAGTGGAGAAATGAACGGATAAATGAATGGAAGGAAAACATCTGAATTATACATTTTTCAAAATAAGTTTTATTTCACCAATTTATCAAAACATTGAAACTACTAAAATCAAACCTCATGCTAGTCCAGAATTACAGAGTGAGATAAAACCCAATAAATAGAATATTGTTATATGCATACTTGCATAAGCATATGCAACTATGTTGGTTAATTAACTGCAATGCATTATTAATTTGGGGTAGTATAAGTTGTGAATACAGCCTACAACATCTGTGTAAAAACAAAACATACAACAGTGCCTAAGAAGGTGAAAGTTATAAACTTTGATTTGATTATACTTGATTGGTTGTCTTTTCCAACCAATCTATTCCTAGACTCTATCCAAACTCTATCCAAGTGACGGCAACTGTCCTACAAACTCCCTCATCTTGACTGAATACTGAGGCTGTTTAATTAAAGTGTACCTTTGTTGTCTGCTGAAGGTGGTCAACAGGATGTCACTGAGGAAACATCAGTTTTATGCCAGCTACATTTCTGGCAATGGTAAGCTACAATGTAGCTTTAGAAATTAATTATTTTGGATACAAACTAGAAAGATTTGTCTGAGCAACTGAAGCCAAATATGTCTGAACTTTAAGAAAATAAATTAGCCTTTGTACCTTTGTACTAGCCTCCATCCTCCAGACAACATTTTAACTTGTTTATGTAATTTATACATATGTTTTTATATTAAAAATATTCATCTTAGCTATCCTAACTACTGAAAACAATATCTGACTCATGTAACCTTACATGCAAAACAACTATTTGTTTGCCGTCCTAAGAATCAACAAGGAAACTGGAAATAGTTTATTTAAATATGAAGCACCTTTTTACTGTTAATGCATTTAATAAGGCCCTTGTGCAAAAATTTCAAAATATTTGTAATTATTTTCAACTCTTTTTTTGTGTGTGTGTGTATGATTACCGTTATATTGTGATTATCCTCTCAATTTAAATTAAATAAATAGGTTAAATAAATATTTTATCAGATGTTGGTCAAACAATTATCATAAGTGTATAAACATAAGCATACAACACAGTACCTTTATTTTCAATGAAAGCTCTGTATAGTGAGTCAGTTTTACAAAGTGGAGGGACTACAAATGATAATAATGACAAGCTCAATACTTTCATGATTATTCAGCTTCATAAAAGTCATAAAATATATTTTCATTTGAATATAAATTATTTCCCATATTAAAAATATGGGAAATTGTGCATTTATCAGTTATTCTTAACTCTGCAAGGAGAAGTCTAGGGACACTCACCTGTTTTACCCAGGGTTTGATGCCATTACTGATCCTCAGCTCTCTAGCAGCTACCGCACTGCAGCCCAGGATCTGACCAATCTGCTGGTCTGAAAAGCCATTCTGCTTCGCTTCCAACAAAAGCTCTCGGGGTACAGTGGCACTGTGCAAAAAGACAAAAAAAGATGAATAACTCCTTAAAGTTAATAGCACTTTCATACACCAGACAGGTCTTGACAGTTAAAAGTTGTATCATTATTTCTAAAGCCATTTGCTGGGCTTTTTCTAAAAATTTATTCTTTGATTGCTTGCTTGCTTGCCAAAACAAAAAGGTGCAACATTTAAAGCAGCAGCAAAGGTCTTAATCTGTCTTAGTATTCCGTAATTCAAGGATACGCATGACTGATGGTAATGTAAGTGAGAAGAAAATATTATTCTAAAAAAAAAGGCAGAGGAGTTCAACAGAAATATGTTATTTTTCTATTATTTTGTATACATGCCTGAGCTTTTTTAAAATCTATTGAACTTTAAAAGTGTATACAGTGAGAAAGTCTTTGACTCAGTGGTGCAGACGGCAGAGAATAGGTTCTGTTGGGCAATCAATGCCAAATTGACAAACACAGCATAATATTGAAAGAAAACTAACCGAGGGAAAGCAAAATATTTAAAAACTCACATTAGCAAAAGAATTTTGGTTGTAAAAATAGAAATAATAGCAGAAAACAGATAAATACACAAGCTTAGATATGAAATGGATCAGGGTGCAAATGTCCTGTCAGATATCTTGGCTCCTGTCATGCTGCTATCTCGTGATACAACCATTAATATCTGCCTTCCAAAAATATTTAGAACCATTGCACTTTTTCTTTTTTTTATGTTGGCCACAATACTGTTAAGGTAATGAGAGCAAAAGGCAGTTCTATAATGTATGGCTTCAGAGGGGATGAATACTTTTGTATGCCAAACTATCAGATTTGTATTTGCAAAATAAAAAAAATATAAAAAAAATAAATAAAACACACATAATAATGTTCTTTCAGTCATCAACTAGGGACTCATAAGTTGTTGTTTTTTTTTTCCAATAAAATCAATTGAAGTTTGTTCTTGTAAAAGGCAGCCCATGCTGTACAACTACATTTGTATGTCATTGTACCATTAATCTAATGTCCATTTACTATCCCTGAAAAATTCAGACATGCTCATTCATGATTTCTTAGATTTACTGTCATCTATTGCTTCTAAAATGGTAGAAAAGTTCTGTTTCCATTATTTTTTATTTATATGGTTGCTTAAGAGACAAATTGGGTAATTATCAATTTATTCTAACCTGAATGAAAACCAAAGAAAGGCTACATGAAGGAAAAAAAAAAACTACAACAACCATGTTTCCATCTAGTGGTTTAGAATAACATGTGGCACAAGTGGGAAATATAGCTCTAACTATAAGCATCACTATAAATGTTTCAAAGATTACCTTTTTCTAGAAATTTTGGTTGATTTTTTAAATTTCTTTTAAGAATTCTTTAGACAACAGGTAATCGGTCTCCGCCAGTCACGTGACATTTGTTGCTAAGACGCCATTTTTGGTGGAAAAGGCGTAGTGTAAACAACCGCAGCATAGCTAAACGAAGGACTAAAGGATTGAGTTTGTTTCTCTGACTATATGGAAAAAAGTAAGCAGAATGCGAAATTACCGGACAGGTATCGTGCCAAGGTAGTTATCCCTGCGAAAATTTGTATCCCCTCGTCGGGAGCGCGCACGGAGTAGGAAGAACAACCCGACTTAACTCCGCTTCAATTCCAACCTGCAGAACTTGAAATTTGAAAGGTTCTACGTGTATGAAAGTTGAGCTTTACTGTTTTATTCTTTACTTCACGTGTTATAGCAGAATATCGCCAGTGATATTGATTTAAAACTGATTATAAAACACAAACGTTTGCTTGAAAGCTGGTCGCTGACAGCAGTGTCTACTCCTCCCTCTGAAAGCAAACAGATCCTTGTTCTTTTCCTCACGTTCCTTAAAAAAGTCTCTCATTGTTTCACAGTGTCCAAATGTTCTCATCCCATTGAAAACTGTTGTAAACCATATACTTGTAATAAAAATGAAATAGAAAATGGAGTGCACGTGTAATCATTAAAGACTATATGCAGAAGGAAATAATTTTTTCCTGGTTGAAATTTAGTACTTAAATCTATATCTGTGTTTATAGTAACGTACAATTTATCTATGTTGTACTATCCTTAATAAACAGTTTGTCTTCTAACATCAGCCGTTTTATTTCATCCCATATTGTCAGAACTGGCAATATGGGATGAAATAAAACCTGCTGTAATCTGTTCCCCCTGTCTAAATCAGACAAAAAAGGCCCCAGCTTTTTCATTTTTGGCTTTTAAACATCTTTTATGATGACAACTAACTCCTGAAACTTTGGAGTTGATTGACCTTTATTTCTTAAAGTTATAAGGGGGGAACAAATTATAGCAGGCCACCTGCTGGGGCCAAAAGCTGGGGCCTTTTTTTTGCCTGATTTAGACAGGGGGAACAGATTATAGCAGGTGGCCTGCTATAATTTGTTCCCCCCTTATAACTTTAAGAAATAAAGGTCAATCAACTCCAAAGTTTCAGGAGTTAGTTGTCATCATAAAAGATGTTTAAAAGCCAAAAATGAAAAAGCTGGGGCCTTTTTTTTGCCTGATTTAGACAGGGGGAACAGATTATAGCAGGTGGCCTGCTATAATTTGTTCCCCCCTTATAACTTTAAGAAATAAAGTTCAATCAACTCCAAAGTTTCAGGAGTTAGTTGTCATCATAAAAGATGTTTAAAAGCCAAAAATGAAAAAGCTGGGGCCTTTTTTGTCTGATTTAGACAGGGGGAACAGATTACAGCAGGTTTTATTTCATCCCATATTGCCAGTTCTGACAATATGGGATGAAATAAAACGGCTGATGTTAGAAGACAAACTGTTTATTAAGGATAGTACAACATAGATAAATTGTACGTTACTATAAACACAGATATAGATTTAAGTACTAAATTTCAACCAGGGAAAAATTATTTTCGATCTGCATATAGTCTTTAATGATTACACGTGCACTCCATTTTCTATTTCATTTTTATTACAAGTATATGGTTTACAACAGTTTTCAATGGGATGAGAACATTTGGACACTGTGAAACAATGAGAGATTTTTTTAAGGAACGTATGGAAAAGAACAAGGATCTGTTTGCTTTCAGAGGGAGGAGTAGACACTGCTGTCAGCGACCAGCTTTCAAGCAAACGTTTGTGTTTTATAATCAGTTTTAAATCAATATCACTGGCGATATTCTGCTATAACACGTGAAGTAAAGAATAAAACAGTAAAGCTCAACTTTCATACACGTAAAACCTTTCAAATTTCAAGTTCTGCACGTTGGAATTGAAGCGGAGTTAAGTCGGGTTGTTCTTCCTACTCCGTGCGCGCTCCCGACGAGGGGATACAAATTTTCGCAGGGATAACTACCTTGGCACGACAGCGGGACTGGCAGCCTCTCACACAACACGATCGTGTCATTTTTGCTCAATATGGTAACACCTCGCCCCTAAAATCTTCCACCAGTGACGTCACGGTGCGGTAGGCCGAGCACCATTCTCGCCAATTAACAAGCAAAATCAACGGGAGCTACTAGACACATCTGCAATCAACAACAATTATTTAAAATTTCGAGAGGACCTCTAGTTAAACTGACAATGCTGATGTGCATGTTGTAATACATTGGGTAAAAGTGAAAACAAAAAGTGTTATTTCACCTTTAAGAATCATGATCCACGATGGGGTCATTCTTGAATTGCCAAGAATTTGCCATCAAACTTCTAGCCAGAGAAAAAACATGTAATATGTAGCCAATCATAAAGAGGAATGTTTTAAAGATGACTTGATAACAGCACAGATACAGCACTGGGACTTGCTCAACAGCCGATGCCGCAATTTAACCTCACAAACCAGTAGGTGGCAGTAGAGTTCTTTGAGAAACATGGAGGTCTCCAGTAAAGCACATTTAAATGAATCATTTATTCAACAGTATGTAATAATTTTGAACTTTAACTTTGTTTAACACTAGCTGACTATGAATCCATTCATCCATCCATCCATCCATCCATCCATCCATCCATCCATCCATCCATCCATCCATCCATCTATTTTCTTACACGCTTATTCCAAGTGGGGTCACAATGGGTGCTGGTGCCTATCTCCAGCTGTCTACGGGCGAGAGGCGGGATACACTCTGGACAGGCCAGTCAATCGCATGGCAACACAGAGACAAACAAGACAAATAACCATTCACACTCACACCTAAAGAATCCAATTACCCTAACAGTCATGTTTTTGGACTGTGGGAGGAAGCCGGAGTACCCGGAGAGAACCCACGCATGCTCAGGGAGAAAATGCAAACTCCATGGAGGCAGCTGTGCTACCCACTGCGCCTCTGAGCAGCCCTGAATCCATCCAAGTTTTGGGTAAATGGTTGGAAAAAAATCATTGCATGGTGAGTCAAAAATGTCTTCAGTTGAATCAAAATGAATCTAGTCATAGTTTTTTTTTTTTTTTTTTTTTTTTTTAGAACAAAACCAGAGCATTTGAAAGTTAGCACACTGCTTCAGTTTATATAGTGAGAAACAGACTAATGGGTCAGTAGGACCTTGAAAAACTAAGTGAGTTAATGAGTTAATCTTTAGTAGATTTGATTACTGTAATGTTGTCTTCACAGGTCTGCCTGAAAAGCTGATTAGACTAAACAGTAAAAGCTCTGACTCCTTCAGCTGCCTTTAATTGAACTTCAAACCACATTTATTTAGAGTGGCCTTTGACTGTGCTATCTAACTATGATTAGTTAAGTTTTTAGTGGGAGTTTTGTTCAATCCCTTGGTCTTTTAATCTTTCCTACATTTTTATCAATAATTTAATCCTTTGTATGATCATCGTATTTAGATGTATTACATTTTAACTGTAATTTTAATCATACTTTAATGATCTCAAAAAGAAACAAAACAACAACATAAATTGCACAAATCAAACAGTTGGGTGACTGTAAGAAAATAAATAAATAAATAAATAAATAAATAAATAAATAAACATCTCTGAATAACAACAGATTACAATAAACTTTGATGAAATGCCAGAA